CCCATGCTTTAGATTGCCCTGTGCGGGGACGTGGGCTGTGTGTGACGGTGCAATGCATCCGTACGAGGGGCCCCCACTGCTGTGTTTGGTGTCAGTCTGGCGGTGCCTTCAGAGGCTGTGGGTTTTGTTGTGTCTGCAGAAAGCACCTCCAGGAGATCCTATCCTCCAGCAGCAATGTTTCCACTAGCTTCTCCTTGGACTCAGACTCCAGCAAGACCTCGGAGGTTCTCCCCGGTATGGGAGTGTCTGTCTTTAAGAGGGGCAAGCTGGGCAATGAAAACATGCCACAGGAACGGCTGCCGTTGCCAGCCCGTCCTCAGAAACGGCAGAAGGTGAAGGACAGGGAGAAGGTGTTTGTCACAGTGCACCGGCCTCGGCTGCTCCAAGAGGCAGAGTCAGGTACCATCACCCCAGTCCGGGTTTTGTTCATCCTTGACTAGAGATGGAGAGTATTACACATCATTAGGACTTTATTCTTTTGGTTTTTTTGCTCTGCCCCAGCAGCATGTCGCTTCTAGATCTAGTGGTTTTCAGGCTTGGGCTTGTAAGTCCCGTTTTATGTAAGCCTTTAAGCAGAGGTGGTGTGTATGCCCCCCTCAGCTACGGTTGGGTCCAGCCTAGCCCTGCCAGCCCCTGTCTGTGTGCTGAGGGTTTGTGCTGTATGTCCCTGTGTCTGTTTGCTGTTGCTGCCTGGGACTTGTGTGGCACCTTGGTGCAGCAGGGCCCTGACCTGCAGTTGTTGCTCTGCTTGAGGGACCTGTTCCAGGAGATTTTTCACCACATACCAAGCAGGGCTAGGCTTCTCAAAAAGTACAGCTGTGGCTGACAGATGAATATGGACTATTGGTGCTGCTGTCCCAGATATAATTTTGAAACCCAGGGGTTTTGATTTTTTTAACATTTATTTTTCTTTTACTTAAGCATCTAAGAAGTAAGGTACTTGGTCGTTGAGACCAAACGGATGCAGATCCACATCTCTTGCAGGCTGAGGTATGCCAGAGCCTACAGCTCCTGTTGAAGCTGAGCTGTGAGCGATGCAAGGGACCCTGCCAGAGAGCTACAGGGAAGGTGCAGCAAAGGGTCTAAGGCTCCAGGGCTGGAAAGAGACAGTCAGGGAAAAAGCAAGGCTGTAAGATGAAGACCTGGGGCACTTGAAGGCAGGGTTATAGGATGCTGGGTTCCTTTCCCTGTTATCAAAATGTGTTTTCAGCCTGCAGCGACTGTGAAATGCAAAATATACGACTCTCCCCAGACACTAGGCTGTCATATGAAAGGTGCGAGTGCCCTCAGATAACCGTGCTCTTATTTAAGAGGGAGTGCTGGATCATAGGCAGCTGTCCATGAGCTCCACCACCCAGAAGTCTCCCACGTGAATGGCAACAATTTCTGGAGCCCTGTATCTACTCATGAGAAGTGGAGAGCACACCACATCCTTCCAGATAATTCTTGGGAGGGTGGTAGTTAGCATGCATGCTTTAAGGAGCAGTTTGCAGTACCTGCTTTTCTCTGTGTATGGTGCAAAAGCGTAACTCACCTTGGGCTCCCTTCTGGGACCCTGACGTGCATAGGAAGGATGGGTGTTTCAGC